TTCGCTGCGCTTACCCACCAATCCTCGCACAGGGAAGAAATGCTTCAGCTTCCCAAAGAACCCACGACCGGCGGGCCTGACTTTCCGCTCCGTCTGAGTGCCGTTGCTTGTTCCTGTAGCGAGAGTAGTATTAGCGAGAGGCGAAGGAATTTCTGTCGGCGCTGCTTGATCGTGCTGACGTGGACGCTGATGGTGCTGACGTGGATGCTGATGCTGCTGTTGATTCTGGCGATTACGGTGCGCCTGAGAGGTTTTCGCGTCGTTACCTAGTTTACCCGTGGGTTGCGCCGTCAGGTTCGTTCGGTCAGCCAGCGGGTTTGGTTTCCGCGATCCGTCTGCTGCGGAGCTTTGAGCATTGCTGTTGCTGGAAAGACCGTGATTTGAGTGACTGTGACCCGAGTTACTATAACCGGAGTGATTATGAGAAGAGCTATGGGAAGAGTGACAACAACCAGTGCGTTTAACGGAAGTTCCAGGCCCAGGGAAGCTGGGAATCATACCGGGAATCTGGCCGTAAAGCGCGCTGCTACTGTAGCAACTATTGGACGGGCAGTCTTCCCGAACGCGGCAAAATGGGAACGATGCGCCGTCGATACTCTCGAGGCGGCTCGGAGAAGGGAAATCCCAGGGCGGGAACTCTTGATGAGGGTCCAGGACCGCGCTGCTCTTGCGACGCTCTCTTGTAACGAATCGAGCGCTGCATGTGACTGTAACGGGATCGAGCACCGTGAGGCGGTGCTCTTGGCCGGAATCAAGGGTCGCCATAACAAGCAACGAAGACGCGGCTGACGGGGGATGCGACTTTCGGTTTCTGCTTCACCAACCTTAACCTTAGCCGCAGTGTAAGGACGCCTAGAAAGAACACTGTCAGGAAAAGGAATCTGCGCGCCCATGGAATCTGTTTAGCACTCTCTATGGGCGCGCTAAAGCCATGGAGTCATTGCTGTAGCGCAGGAACACTGTAATTTCTAGGTGTCAAAGCTTCTCACCCCTCAAGTCGTCTTGATCAACTAATGCGCGGGAGCGACAGGAGCAAGATGTACTATTTGTTAGGTTTCACGGTTGCGTACGATGCTGTGCATTTTGAAACGGTTCTATGTCTCCACCTCTTTCCACCGCTGCTCACCTTTCTGACCATCGAAGCGGAATTCATGGAATTTTTTGCCCGAGCGAGAAGGAATGTCAAGCAGCCAATCACGAATCCGACGCGGAAAAAAATTCCGAGGGGTCTGCCTGCAGCCCTTTGCTCATTGGCTTGGCTGGCGGACGCTGCGAGGTTGAATTGTTGCAGACTGAACCGAACGAAACGAAAGGAGGCAAATTCAACTAGTGGCGGGAACTGACTGTCTGACAGTGCAGGGCTGGCATTGCGCGCCAGAACTGAACAGAACCAGCATCACGAAAGAGGAAGCTTGAGTAACCGCAAAAGGTATAGTCTCCACAAAAGGTGAATTCTTTAGTGATACTACCTATTCTTTAGCGATCAGTCATTGTTGCTGGCTTACTAGCTCATTGCATATAACCAAACTGACCACAAATCATACCACCACACATCATTACATACTGATGAACACCTTCCTTCTACACACTACTGTAACCATACGGCTGGACCCAGCCAACGAAACAATGTGACCAGCTTCGGAAGCTAGCGAACCAGCCAGTGAGGTGCGAAAAGGTTTGGGAAGTGTGACGATGGAGGAGCGATCTGATGGTGGTGGAGTGGGCCAGAGGTGACCAAGATGGTGATATGACAGGTATGTGCATGGACTGCTGTTTGGATGTGCTATGCCATGGTGCTGCTGGGTTGACGGGAGAAAGGCAAAGGAAAGTAAAAACAGTTATTTAAATGTTTCATCAGTTAGGGAGAACACTGGAGTGAGGATCAAAAGGAGGAGCAAGAGAGAGGGTTGAAAGAGATGTGAAATGGAAAGTGAGTGCCTGACAACAGGTGGAGAGGGAAAGGTGGAGAGCGAGGGGTTGGACAGGAGAAAAAAGCAGGAGAGATGTACAAAATGAGACAAGGAAGAGATGGAGTAGGGATGTTGGGTGGGTAGAAGGACGAGAGAATGTCAACACACAGGCGTTAGGTTCACACGCAGGGATGTTCGGACAGTCATACCTAAAGAGCAGTAGTGCTGGCAGCACCCAGAGTTTCTGCATTTACTTCTCGGAGGAGTTAGGGCCGCGCTTCTTGCCGAATCCCACCACTGCAGAGCGGGGACGGGCAAATGGCAAGGGGGAGGCGAGATGGACGGATCGTCAATGCACATGGACAGCACGCAGCGGTGTTGCGTCTGATAACAGGGCCGACTTCTTGCCAAATCCCACCACTGCAGAGGAGGGAATGGACAAATGGCAAGGGGGAGGCGAGATGGAAGGATCGTCAAGGCGCACGAACAGCACGCAACGTTGTTGCGTGTGATATCAGGCCCGATTTTTTTTGCCGAATTCCACCATTGTAGGACGTGGAAGGGCGACAGGGAGTTGCATGGGAGGGCGAGTTGGCGTGAGTGAGTAGGCAGAACGAGCAGTACAGGTAATTCGACGACGACGCTCGTGACTCACGCTCGTAACAAAGCCTCATGACTCACGCTCGTAGTGTAAAAATAGTCACAACAATTACAGAAACGCTAGCTTGACGTCGCCCCGATATGCGAACCTGTTGCTCCTCTGTGCGACGCTGCTGCGACTCCTGTGCGAGAACGCTACTAAATAGCACGTATCCCTGTCGCCGAGTGCGACGAAACACAGTCGGAGCCTAAAAATGACTAGTTGACTCCCACCGCTTGAAACTGCGCAATCTGACCTGAATCAACGCCTGCTTCTGCGGTTTAAGCAGCCTCGATGTCTGAACTAATCAAGCCTTTGCTGCTGCCACCAAGAAGCAGACCGTGCTCTCTTCTACTCGCAGCCCTTTCAAAAGGAAGTCACGCGGCGGCCCCACAATCGAAGGTGACTACAACGAGTGTGCTCGTACCGGCGGTGACGAAGCGGCGGTTGTACAGCACGCGCTTGTGCGCTTGCCTGCGGTGATCACAACGCGCGTGCGCATACCGGCGGTGACTGTAACGGGTGCGCGCTTACCGGCGGTGACGAAGCGGCGGTTGTACTGCATGCGCTTGTGCGCGCGGCCCTTGGGCTGCTTCTTCTTGTCCTGCTTCTCCACCTTGGGCGTCTGCCCGCGCACCTTACCGGCACGCGCCAACGATCCGTGCACCTTACCTGCGCGCAAGTGTGGAGGGGGGAACGGAAATGGGAACACAGGTATTGTGAAGGGAAGAGAGGGGGAATCAAAACTGCTTTGCCCGCGCACCTTACCGGCACGCGCCAACGATCCGTACACCTTACCTGCGCGCAAGTGTGGAGGGGGGAACGGAAATGGGAACACATGTATTGAGATGGGAAGGGAGGGGAAGAAGATCAGAGCTGCTTCTCCACCCTGGGCGTCTGCTCGCGCACCTTGCCGGCGCGCGCCAAAGATCCGTGCACCTAACCTGCGCGCGAATGGACGAGGGAAAGAGGGGGTGACGGGAGCGACAGCAGCGGGGGAAGAGGAAAAGAGGAATAGCGGGGAGAGTGGATGGGAATACGGAAAGAAGGAGATGAGACGGTGTCGACAGCTAGTGCGTCCTTCGAGGCTCGGGGCTGCTTCTTCTTGTCCTGCTTCTCCACCTTGGGCGTCTGTCCGTGCACCTCGCCGGTACGCGCTAACGATCCGTGCATAAAGAGTATAAGAAGTGCACGCGCTACAATCGTGGTAAACCTAAGATCTAGGAGCATAGGAAAAGCAGGGAATGTGCTCAGTCTTGCAGTAAATTGGACGAAACCTCTATGATCACCATAGGCCGGATGATTAAGAACGATACGGACACGCGTAAGGACACGCGTAAGCCGCTCGTCGAAGCGACCGGCACGTTTCGCTAAAATTAGGTCAGGGTTTCAGGGTTTGCTACAACTAGCCCCATTCCCTCTCAACCACCCGCTACGCGCTGTTAAACTGCCTTACGAACGAATTTAACTCACTCATGGTGAGAAGTAGAGTCGCGACGTCGGAAGCAACGAAGGGAGCGGCGGGACGGGGAGTGCAACGAGCTTAGAGGAGGAGACTAAAAGCCGCGAAAAGAGATCTTGGAAAAAGGAGTTGGCGGAAAATAAGATGAGGTGAGAAAGCCAGGGTAGGGGCGCGCGCAGAGGTTGAGAATGCTATGGCGCGCGGAGAAGCAGAGAGAACCGCAGAGGTGGGGGAACGGGGAGGGAGTTCTTGCGGAAAATACTGGAATCTGGGAGGTTGATTGCGGGTGGCGGAAGCAATGTGTATTCTCGTTACAACCCGATGCTTTTGCAGTTGGAAACCGGTGCAGAAGAATCCCAGCATGTAGACAACAGTTGCTTGTGATGATTCTCCGTAGAATGTTTCCTAAACGGGTGGACCATTAACTCCTGATTCGGACGGTAACCGCTCTGCACCGTATGTTAACTCACTTCTATAACGGAATACCAGGTACAACCCCTCTCAAAGTACAGACTTTGGATTCGTCGGGGCTGGATACACCACCACAACCCCTGACTTCGTTTCTTGAAATCCCGATTTCTCCTCTCATTGCAACCAGACCACCATCGCTTGCGCTGCGGTTTCTTCTGCTAGTGCACAATTGTATAGTCAGCAGACCATAGCGGTGACTGTATAATTTGTCCTTGGAGAAACCGAGGTTCGACTGGCGAGGAGAATTAGGCGAATAAAGCTCTCCGAATAATTGGTGTCTCCAACGAGCAAGGCTGATATGAGCGTATTCGTTGTGTAACCAGGTCGCGACTCGGTGACGCTTGGAGCAGCATGGTCTAGCGAGAACGTGACGATTGTGAGGCGGCATCAGTACACCATACCGAAACGCGAACCGTGCATATAGCGACGCAATACCGCGTTGGGTCACCATACCGAAACGTGAACCGCGCGACGTCTTAAACTCCAGCAGTCGCGAGTGCACGGGGGGGATCGCCGGATGGGTCCCCGCGACGATGGCGGGGATTCGCAGAGCACAGGCGGCGGCGGCGGCGCAACGCTGTGGGGGAAGCTGGAGGAGACATGCAGGTGTGCGGTGGGGTGGGAAGAGGGAGAGGAGGGGGGGGGGAGAGGGGGGTGTGGGGTAAGGTGGGGAAGATGGGGGAAAGAGAAAGCGGAGGGGGGGGTACGCGCGACGCTTACCTGGCATTGAATTTACCCTCTCCTCCCTCTCCCCACCCCTCATCAAGCTCCCCCTGCTCCTCTCTTCCCCCGCTCCTTAGCTTGAGGCCTGGGCTTGTCAGGCCTGAATTGGTGAAATTGATACGAAATAGTGATCCGTGCTTGTGCCGAACCTCGTCCCCTCACAGGTATTACACGGGCCTTCCCAAGCCTCGCGTGGAGGCTCGGGTGGTGGAGTTCCGATCCGAGAGGCAGTTCGTGTCGCTGCTACAGCAGGGGAAGCCAGTCGCCGTCGCCTTCACCTTCTCGTGAGTTTTCGCCCGCTTTGCTCGCATATCAGGGGAATTGAATTTGATATGCAAGGAATCTCTTCTGTTGCATCAGGCACCCACTTGTGGGTAGCAGTTCGTGTCGCTGCTGCAGCAGGGGAAGCCGGTCGCTGTGGCCTTCACATTCTCGTGAGTCTGTCATTCGCTGGCACTGTTCTGTTGGATCATGCACACATGCATGCAGTTGCGATCCGAGAGGCAGTTTGTGTCGCTGCTGCAGCAGGGGAAACCGGTCGCCGTGGCCTTCACCTTCTCGTGAGTGCCCTGCATGTACTTTCACCTTCGCTTCGTGTGGTGCGAGCACTTTGAGACTTGACTCTCCAGCGTGGGGGGAACAGAACGGACAATGGGAGATCACTGAAACTCCTCTCCAACTTTCTTCTCAACCCTCTTCGTGTTCCTGTGCCTTCCCCTCATCTTCTCTTCCCCCTTCTTTCTGTCTTCCTTGTCACTGTGGAATTCCACTTGCACCCTGCAGCTGTGCACACACGAGGCATTTCGACGAGATGTTTCAACAAGCATCAGCCGACCTCCACCCGCATGTCAACTTCATCCGAGTAAGCATGCTGCTTCCCCCATGGGAGGCCTCCCGTCGTCCATGCTGTGCCCATGCTTCAGCCGACCTTCTGCCCATGCTTCTTGCCCCATACTGGTTCCCAATGCTGCTCCACTCAGCCGACCTCCACCCGCATGTCAACTTCATCCGAGTAAGCATGCTGTTCTGCCCATGCTGCTTGCAATCACTGCCCGTCACCTCAAACCCCTCCAGTGGTTCACATCTTGCCGCTCCGCATGCTGCTCCCCATGCTGCTCCCCATGCTGCTTCCCCCATCATGCTGCTCCCCATGCTGCTTCCCCCATCATGCTGCTCCCCATGCTGCTCCCCATGCTGCTCCAAAGGCAACCTGCTCTGTGCATCCATGGCACGCCAAACACACGGCTGTGCGCACAACCACTGCCAGTCACCTCAAATCATTTCTTTCGTGCCTTTCGAGTTGACTCAAAAGTCAACTCCTTTCGAGTTGACTCAAAAGTCATCTCGTGCCTCCTCTACCACGTGGCCTGCCCCAATCTCTCAACCTTTCAAGCTCTCCCGTATGTTTGTTTCAGTAGCTCTCAAGCTCTCTGCTGGCATGGCTGCTGGCATGTGTGTGTCGTGGCTGCTGGCATGGCTGCTGGCATGGCTGCTGGCATGTGTGTGTCGTGGCTGCTGGCATGGCTGCTGGCATGTGTGTGTCGTGGCTGCTGGCATGGCTGCTGGCATGTGTGTGTCGTGGCTGCTGGCATGGCTGCTGGCATGTGTGTGTCGTATGGTTGGTGGCATGGGTGGCAGGTGGATTGCCCCAAGCACCTTGGCTTCTGCATCGCTCGTCAGCGCAAGGACTACCCCTTTATAGAGGTCTTCTATAACTCGAAAGAGGCGCAGCGGGACACGACCCCCTCAGCGGGAGGAGGTGGAGGAGCAGCGGGAGTGGTTCGCTACAGTGTCATGGTTCTGCCTGTAAGTCGTATGGTGTATACTTGTCCCAATCTACCAGGCTATTTTTGTAGCTATGTGGTTGTTTTCATGTTTGTATGGTTAAGAGTTTCTGTAGCCATATGGTTGTATTCCTGATGTTTGTATGGTTAAGTGTGTGTAATAGAGCCGTTCTTGGTCGTCTTATGGTATTTCTAGCATTGGCGTATTTATTTACTGAAGATAGGACTGTGTTGTCACTGCGTTGTGGGTCCTCATTTACGTTCCTTGCATTTCTGTGGTTAATTTCCGTCACCGTTTTCCCATTTCCCCCATGTCCGTGTATTTCAAAATGCAGTACAACTATGATGTGAGCACGTATGGCTTCAGAGAATTCTTAAAAAAGCATCAATTAATTTCTCCTGGTGTCTTGAAACAAACTTAAGAAACACATGCTTAAGGTCATTGAACTCAAAGCCGTTCAATGCGCTGGCCTTGCATTTGTGTACCAAAAGTATTGCTTCGTTGCTGGCCTTCGTTGTTTTGGCATACGACAAGCAATTTAAAGTCGACGAAGTATGCTGTCAAACGAGGTCTCCAATACAGAGTCTCCGTAAAACACTTGCAGCGCACGTCATGCTGACAGTCAGTGCGACATCAATCACTCTCGCCATTGGTCACCAAAGGGGGCTGTGCGTGCTTCTAGGTGGAGCTCGTCTGTGCGATATTTTGATGCTCATCGTACGGCACGATGCGATGGCAACAGGGCATGGTCTGCCCATCGCATGCGAAGCATTCTCCCGTTGCCCCATTGGTCGTTGACCTCTCACCTCGACGTGACCGCCACATCAGTGGCCATGCGACACATCGGCGTCGCGAACACCATACGTGCGACCCATGCCCCACGGCGTCGTCTTGTGGGCATGTCTCTTGTCACCACCACTATCGCGCCTCGCTGCGACCTGCTGCGAGAGTGCTCCACGAAGGGGCATATGTTCTCGGTTTGCCCGAGCATCGCTGCGGATGCGCCTCGTTCTGTCACGGCGGCACCTGCTTGGTGCACGCTGGCGCAAGCCCATTCGTCCGCGCGAGCCAGCACGTTCCGCCCGCAATATCTTGAAACCCTCATGAGCGGAACCCGTCGCATTGGCTGTACGCACCTTTGAATTCCTTCCGCGCGTGAATTACCCCAAACGGGGCAGCGAAGCGCAGACAGAAATGGTGATCGTGCCCGAAACCAAACAAAAAGATTCCCCTAAGTGGAGCAGAGTTTTCCTGCGTACCTGACCTTTCGAACTCCCTCCCACTACTGCCTCGGATCAGCTGGTGACATTTCCATTCGAATTTGAATCTCGGGTAGCTCGCACTCTTGTTCCGTTCCGCCCCACATAGGCAAGCAGGGAAAATAGAAACGTCGTTGAGCGGAGAGAGGCCACTGCGGAACGTGCGACAAGGTCAACCCAGCGAGCGACGAACACTCAACAGGCGAGACCAGACCAGAGCAGACTGGCAGAGCAGGGAAAGAAAAGCAGCAGCAGCGAGGAAACGAATCGGAAGGCCCAAAATGCCCCAGTAGCGTCCCTCCCTCCCTCTGCGTCAAGGACTTCCCCTCACGGGCTAGGATTAGAGGTCTAATAGAGCTGCCCACCTACTACTGCTGCTGCTGCTACTGCTGTTGCTAGGGTTTCGTTAGCTCGCTAGGCGACCCGAGCGGCGTGACAAGTCTTAGCGCGTTTTTTCCGCAGGAATTTTTTTTCTCAGCCTCTGCCAATGCAATGGCGATATGTTGACCAGAACCAATCACACCAGGTTTCCGACGTGCTGACACGCATGGGTCTTTAGATGGACATTCAAGAAGCGTCCAAGATCCTCTATTCCCGACTGCAGTCGCTCGAAGGAGGCAACGCGTCGAAGCTACTCGGGTGGATGCTCATGCGCGAGAATGCCGACCAGGACTTAGCGGCGCTCGCGAAAGGCTCCGACGCGCAGCTGATGTCTGCCATTGGGATCGCGAAGCGGAACCTTAGCGTGTACTCGTCCATACCGGGATGGCAACACCAGGTACGAGGGATTTTCCTTTTGAAGCGCCTCGAAAATTATGTTTGTTTTCGGATTGCAAACGGATTCTCATTCATTTGCTCGTCCATGCGACCACGGCAGCGTCATGTGCCCTTAAATCCGCCCACCCCGTTTTTCTCTGTCGTTCCATTTTTAGAAGTTTTGTTATTCTTGGCCCGGAACCAGAGCTACTCGATATTTCTGTGGCAGTAAATTGTGCCAGTCGATTAAGCCTTAATCCGCGAGACCGTTCTAAAGCCTTGGTTCATTGTTCTGTTGATGGGGGCGTGCATCGGGGTGTGATTATGTGATATTTGATACGCGATGGGTGTGGGTGTGACTTTGGTGTTCCGCCGTGACTCTACGCGCGCTACAGGGGGTTCTGGCGGAGATCCGGCTTCAACAGGAAAGCGCGGCGTGCGTTGCGCGACAACGGACCGCCGCCGCTCAGTCCTTCGTCCACTCTCACCAGGCTTCCACAGACAGGTAACTAATATCTTCTGTTTTTTAAACACTTAGCCCATTCTCGAACCCAGCGAATTGTTTATTTTTTCTCCTTTCCGTTCTCTTTTTTTATTTATTCAGCTCATTTACGTTTTCTCTTCCGTCCTTCCTTTTTCCACCCCAGGTTTCCTCATTCCGACCGTTTCTCTGCCTCGACGCAAGCGGCCCTCGCGTCGCTCTCCCCCGATACGCCCCTCGCTGAACCAACCGACTCTGCCGGTGCCGGCGCCGGCGCTCCCGGCGATGCGGCTGCTGCTCCGACGGCAGCGCGACCAATCCCCACGGATGCCCCAGCGATTCCCCACCTGACCGCACTCCACGGCGCAAGTGGCGCTGCGAGCGACTACGGCTCGTCGCCCGAGAGTTCGCAGTCGTCGTTCATGTTCAAGCGATGCCACTATTTCGCACGCGGCTTCTGCAAGCACGGCAGCGCGTGTCGCTTCTTGCACGCGTCGCACGGCCAGTCGGCGACGGCGCCCGTGTCGTCGCCGGGGTCGCCCAGTGCGACGAGCTCGGACGGCACAATGGCGGCGGCGACTTACCCCGAGCCGCAAGGCGCGGAAGAGACTTCTGCTTTGAGCTGCACGGCCGCGAGCGGCGGCGGCGGCGACAGCGACGGCGGCGGCGTCGGTTCCCGGGGTGATGATAGCGGGAATAACAGTAGCGGGGCCCGCGCTGACGTTGGAGATTCGTTTCCTAGTAGCACCACCGCAACCGACGGCGGCGGCGGCGGCGGCGGCGGCGCTGACGGTGGTGGTGGTGGTGTGGCCAAGTCTGCTGCGGGCGGGCTTGCGGGCGGCAGCCCGGGTTCTGCGGCGGGTTTCACGCTGGAGCGGCTCGAGGCGGAGCTTCACGAGCTTCTTAGAGAGCACAAGGGGCCCATCCACGTGGCATCGCTCCCTCAGCTATACGCGGAGCGGTTCGGGAAGCCGTTGCAAGCGGAGGGGTACTTAACTGAGAGCCAGCGGCAGGGGCGGCCCGGACTAAGCCTAACTAAGTTACTCGCGCAGATGAAATCGTCGATCGCGTTCGTCGATAGGCCGAGCGGGCAGCGCGCGATCGTCCTTAAGGGGTCGCCGATTCTGGAGGAGTCTAAGAAGTTTATTTCGTTCAAGGAGCGAGCGGATTTGGCGCCGCCCAGTCCGGGGTCGCGGCAGATTTATCTCACTTTTCCGGCCGAAAGCACGTTCACAGAGGATGACGTGGCAGCTCATTTCAGGTACACATGGCAGCCGTAGAGTACACCTCGTTCTTCCCCTACGTCCCCCCCTTCCTTCGCCCTCCCTTCCCCCTCCTATCCCCCTCCTATCCCCGTCGTATCCGGGCTCTGCTCATTCCTCTTTCCGCTCCTCCTCCCGCCCCTTTTCCCCTCACCTCTCCTCTTTCCCCTTCCCCTCTTCCTCTCCTTCCCCTCATCTCTCTCCCTCCTCCTGCGCAGCAAGTTTGGCCCAGTGCACGAGGTGCGCGTGCCGCATCAACAGAAGCGCATGTTTGGATTCGCTATTCCTAAATTCTCCGCTTTTCCCCCTCCCCTCATTCCCCCTGCGCGCAGCAAGTTCGGCCCAGTGCACGAGGTGCGCGTGCCGCATCAGCAGAAGCGCATGTTCGGATTCGTGACGTTCGCGTTCGCGCACAGCGTGAAAGCGATTCTCGAGGAGGGTAATCCGCACCACATTGGCGGCTCGCGCGTGCTCGTCAAGCCGTACCGCGAGAAGTCGCGCCACGGCAGCGCCGCCGCCGCCGCGCACGGGCACGCGGACCGGAAGTCGCGCGCGGGGGCGGACCGCGGCGCACAGGTGTCGCCCGCGAAAGGCGCCGTGGAGTCTTATTCAGGTAATGTGCCATTTTTGTGCAGAGGAGAACGACAGAGAAGCAGAGGCGGAAGCAGATGCATAGATAGTTTGCGACTGTTATCTCATTTGTTACAATTCCGCCTAAATCTGTTACCTACACGTTTTGTACAGCGCTCATTTGTGTTATCTCTGTTATACATTTGTTTGTTGTCTGTTTCTCTGGTTGCAGACGACTCTCCCCCACCGCCCATTCCCAAGTCGTCGAAGCGGCTATTTCCTGCCAAAAACGCGCTACAGCAGCCGCAGCAGCGGTCTCTGCAGCAGCCACGTCAGCACCAGCCGCAGCCGCCGCCGCCGCCTCCGCCGCCGCCGCAGCTGCAGCAAACAGACGAAGGGGAGGAGCAGCAGTTAACACAGCAAGGGCAACAGCAACAGCGACAGCAAACACACGACCAGTCGCAGCAGCAATCTCGTCTGGAAGGCGGGTGGGGGAGCGATCACAGCCGTCCGATTCACCACCACCACGTGTCAGCCTCTTACGAAGCATCGCAATACAGCTCCCCGTCTCCTTCCCCTGCCCCTTCTCCTGCCACCGCCGCCGCCGCTGCTGCCGCTGCTGCTGGCACTCCTGGTGCTGTCACTGGTGTTTCTCCCTTGGCCTCCTCCTCTCCCTACACTCGAACCTCCTCTATCTATGCTTCTGCGTCTGCCTCTGCCTCTCTTTCCTTCTCCTCTGCGTATTCGCCTTCTTCAGCTGCTGTTGCGGCTGCGGCTGCGGCGGCTGCAGCGGCTGCCTATGACGCGCCGCCCAGGCGAAAGAGCCTGTATCAGTCGCTGTCGTTTCGGGACGCAGCAGCTTCGCAGCAGCTTCCGCAACACACGTGGCAGCACCGGCAGCAGCACTACCACCACCATCACCAACAGCCGCAGCAGCAGCAGGAAGAGCATGGGGGACACGAGCACTGGCAGGTGCGGCTACAGCAGCAGCAACAACAGCAGCAGCGGCAAGAGGAGCAGCAGCAGCAGGGCGGGGTGGGAGGCGAGGGGCAGTGGCAGGTGCGGCAGCGGCTGCAGCAGTGGCAGCAGCAGCAGCAGCGGTGAAGAGAACACCCGGCAATCCCTAGGGTTCGTCGGGATTGCTTTGGGAGACGTGGGAAGAGCGTTTTCCGGCAGTGACGTGGACGCATTGCGGGGCACAAGAGGCGTGGTGGGAATGGGTATGGGCGGTATGGGGGGCATGGGGACCATTGGGGGGGCGGGAGGAGGCATGGACGAGCTTCACTTCAAGCCGTCCCATCTCAGCGTCGCCTCGTCCTCTTTCTCCTCCTCCTCCTTCGCCTCCACTTCTTCCTTCGCCTCTTCTATCTCCTCAGGGTTGACTGGATTCGCCTCTGCTCGCACTCCCATGGATCATTCTTTCTCCTTCGCCTCCTCCTCCCTCTCCTCCCTCTCCTCTCTCCCCGGCTATGGCACTACCGGCACCGGCACTACAGCTCACTTCTCACACGGTGAGTGTAAATCTTCAAGTGTGTTCTGGTGTCGCCTCGTCCTCCCGTTGTCCCTCTCATATTCCTTTCCTCTCAATGTCGTCTCAATGCAACGCAAATGGCAACGCAATGTCGTCTCACTAAATAACTCACCCCTGCTTGTCCCCCCTTCCACCACCCGCGTTTCCTCCACCTTCTACCCTTTCCTCCTGTGTGCCTCTTCCTCGTGTCACCACCAGGTGATGTAGGATTCGAGGCCCTTCCCCAAACGCCCACACACCGGCAACTCACCCCCCTGCTTCCGCCCTCCTCTCCCCCCCTGCTGTGCTCCTCCCCCCTGAGCCTCTTTCTCTTGTACAGGCGATGCAGGTCCAGAGGCCCTTCCCCTAACGCCCACACACCGGCAACTCAATGATGTGTTACAAGGCAGTTTACCCCTGGTTGTTCCCTCTTGCCCCGGCCCGCGTTTCTCTCTCTTGCCCCCAACAGGCGATGCAGGACCTGAGGCCCTTCCGCAAACGCCCACACACCGACAACTCGATGACGTCTTGTAAGCTCTTCCTTCCCTCACTCGCTTTTCCCCTCCCTCACTCGCTTTTCCCCTCCCTCACTCGCTTTTCCCCTCCCTCACTCGCTTTTCCCCTCCCTCACTCGCTTTTCCCCTCCCTCACTCGCTTTTCCCCTCCCTCCCTCCGCTCCGCTGCTCCCCTTTCTCTCCCTGCTTTCGCTTCTTTCCCAAACGCCCACACACCGGCAACTCGATGATCTTGTAAGCTCTTCCCTCCTCCCTCCTCCCTCTTCCCTCCTCCCTCCTCCCTCTTCCCTCCTCCCTCCTCCCTCTTCCCTCCTCCCTCTTCCCTCCTCCCTCTTCCCTCCTCCCTCCTCGCTCCCCTTTCTCGCTCGCTCCCTCTCCTTTGCCCCTCTCCCTCCATCGTTCCTCTTTGCTGCTCCCGTTCTCTCCTCACTCTCGCCCTGCTTCCTTTCCAATGCCACTTTGTTTCTCTGACTCAATTTTTTCTTTTCCCCCCCCCCCCCCCCTCTCTCCCGTTGTTCCCCCAGTGATTTACACTCGCTCCTGCCAGACAGCCCCTTCGCGTTGCCCCTAATGACCAGCACCGCCAGCAGCGCCAGCAGCGCACCATTCAGAGGCTCATTCGTTTTTCGCCCATCTTCCCTCCCCCCTTGTTCCCCTCTTTCCTCTCTGCTTCCACCTTGCAGCGATCTGCACTCGCTTCTGCAAGACAGTCCCTTCACGTCCCCTCTAATGACAAGCACTGCCAGCAGCGCCAGCACCATCAGTGCCACATCACTTGAAGGCTCATTCCTCTCTCTCTCTTCTGCTTTTCCCCCTGTTCCTCCAGCGATTTACACTCGCTTCTCCCAGACAGTCCCTTCACGTCTCCACTAATGACAAGCACCGCCAGCAGCGCCAGCACCATCACTAGAGACAAAAACCAAGACCGCTTGCCGCCCGCTGCTGCGCTGACAGCTGGCACCGCCGCAGCATGGGACGATGCAGACCGCCCGGAAACCGTCCCTTCTTCGTCCTCTTCTTCGTCCTCTGCCGCCCTCTCCCGGTTCTTCAGCCCGTCTCTTTCGACCATTCTTGCCCCTCCTCCCCCGCCTCCGCCTCCGCCTCCTCCTCCACCTCCCCTTCCTCTTGATCACCTTCATATTCAGCAGCAGCATCAAAATCATCATCAGCAGCAGCAGATTTTGCCTGCTTCCACTCGTCGAGCATCGTTCGGTGGTATTTCCTCTGCTGCTGCATCCTCCCTTGCTCCTGCTGCTCCGTTTTCTGCAAGTGCCTTTCCCCCTGTCGGCTCTATACAGCAGCAGCAGCAACAGCATGTTTCAAGCACAGCATCCCTGTGGGGACACACAGTGGGGGCAGAGGCCGCAGGGGGAGACGGGGCGACACAGCTAACTGCTTCTATTGGGGAACTCAATATGGGGGATACACAGCAACAGCAACAGCAGCAGCAGCAGCAGCAGCAGCAGCAGCAGCAGCAGCAGCAGCAGCAGGCGCAGGAGGAGCAAGAGAGGGTAGTTGCAAGTGTATGGGGCCACACCTGTGATTCCTGCTCGGGTAAGAAGCGGCTTGGATGTGTCCCCATAGATTCTCCTGTCGAGCTCACTTATGTTGTGTCACCTGTTATGTTTTTCTCCTGTTATATTTCCATTTTCTGCCCGTTTCCTGTCCGGATGCGCCCTCCCCCAGAAGCGGCCTACACAATGCAGCTCGCGTGTGGTCATTACCACTGCACCAAGTGCGCCCCCCAGGTGAGTCACGATGGTTGGGGGTGGTTGGATGGGGCTGAGAGGGATTGCAGGGGGTGTTGTGTGAGTACCAATGCCTACCAGTCAGCTTTCTTACTCTGATGCCATGCCTTCTTGTTTACTTATGCGCCTTATCCGATGCCTCTTTCCCATGTTCCACATCTCCCCCATTCACAGGGCCCCTCGTTGTGGTGTGTTGTGTGTCAGCACACCGCCTACCAGCCCTGCCGCCTGCCTTTGATGCTCATATGCCGGACCTCCCTGTTTCCCTCTCTCCTCTCTGCTCTCCTCTTCCCCACCGTCTGCCCCCATTCACAGGGTCCCTCCTCGTGGTGTGTTGTGTGTCAGCACACCGCCTACCAGCCCCCTTCCTCTTACCTCGTTGCACAGACTTCCTGGAAGGTTCCCGTTCAAGAAGCTGCATGGAAGGTTCCTGCTCAGGAAGCTGCCTGGAAGGTTGCTTCGTTGCAGCTGCAGCCACGCAGCAACAGGTCCCCATCCTGGTGAGAGGAGGGGAGAGATGGGGAGGAGAGGAGGGGAGAGCTGGGGAGAGGAGGGAAGAGGTGATGAGGAGGAGAGGAGACTTTTGAGTCTACTTGAATGGCAGCTGCAGCCACGCAGCAACAGGTCCCCATCCTGGTGAGAGGAGGGGAGAGGAAGTGGAGGGGAGAGGAAGAGGAGGGGAGGTGAGGAAGAGAGGCGACTTCTGAGTCGAATCAAATGGCAGCTGCAGCCGCGCAGCAACAGGTCTCCATCCTGGTGAGATGAGGGAGAGGAGGATAGGAGGGAAGAGGAGGAGAGAGGAGTGATTATTCAATGGGAGCGTTGGGATGACGACCATTACAGTATGCAATAGGGATTGTTGGGATAGGAAGCAATAATCGATGGGAGGTAGGCGATAGGAGTGATTGTGGCAGTGGGAAGCAGTCGTGTTGCAGGAGAAGGGACAGGACAGAGCTGTGGTGGCAGAAGCAGAAGCAGAAGCAGAAGCAGAAGCAGAAGCAGAAGCAGAAGCAGCAGTGCAGCAGAAGTGGCAGAAGCAGCAGCTGAAGCAGCAGAAATGCAGGAGCAGCAAGGGGGGTAGGGAAAGTTGACACGGGATTGGTTCACAGCTCCCGTTCGCGCTCAGTCTCTATACGGCTGCATTTCCCTCGGCCCTTAGTCTTTATACAGTGCATCGCTCACGGCAGTCTGCCTCTATACGGTTTTCCCTTGCATCACAGTTTTGACACACACGTTGTTTCAGACTTCGCTACACATTACAGCGCTGAGTGCACCTGGAGTGGGGATGAGCAAGGAAAACTTGCTCGGTCTTCTTGCTCGGTCTGTAGAGTCTTTAGACGGCTGCTCTTCCAACATCGGCCCACGGGAGGGATTGGCTTTGAGGCGACTTCTCCCCCACATACACACTGCAAGAGGACGCCAGGAACTTGGCTACCCAAGAAAATCACATACTGCAAATACTAGAAGTTGCCCTGGAAGAAGAGGGTGTGACAACAAAGAGGCCAGAGATGTTTGAAGATGCCAAGAGGGTGCGGACGTGGCTTGATGAGAGGAAGATTTTGAAGGTTGTGACTTGAGGCGATGTGGAGTTGAGAGGAAGATGATCCAACCTGGAGAGCGGAGGGGTACAGTCAATCCATGTGGCCCATGAGGTGGGTTCTCTGAAGCAGCAGTGCCACATTCGCTCCCCTCCCTCCCTTCCCTTCCCTTCCCTTCCTTACCTTCTCCTGCCCCCTTGCCCTCTCTCCTCCTGACCTCCTTTCCTTCACCTTTCCCTTTCTTCGCATCACCCTTTTCACTCATCCACTATGCCTCCACGTGACGAGGGATGGGTGTGTGCGAGAATTGAGACGCGCTTTGGCATTACGCATTAGGCTAGCAGCCAAAGCCCAACGTTAGGCAGGTGCAAGCAATAATTTATAGGCTGGGAGTGTAGCTCTTCAGGAGTTAGGTTAGGACGTGGGACAAGATAACTGTAGGTCCCTATTTTACATACCTAGATATTAATTTGTAATGCATGCCTTGATGCTGATGTGGCTAGTTTAGGCACTAGATGTAGTATTGAATTGAAACTAATTTATTCCCTTCAGCGCTTCTGACGTTTGTATCAACTGAAGCAAAACCAAGCCATCAGAACACACCCCCTGTGCAGCAATGGCATCTGATAGATTGCTTCTATTCTAGGGTAATGTTTGCTCTCCTCTCCAGGAAACCGAATCGGGAAAGTGTCGTTCAACTATCTGTGCACCAGTGGTGATAAACTACGATAATAAGAAATGTACGGTAGATGTCGCCAAATGAATGAATAGGTTCCAGTTTTCAAATGACCTTGTGCAGCACCTTCTGCTGTATGAATCTGTCATTCAGAACAGGCACTACACCAAGAATAATGTTAAGAGGAGTTGCTGCTGTTGCTGCGGTAACCAGGCAATCATAACTGTCATTCAACCACGGCAAGGGCTGGCTGTAACCTCCCAAACCCGGCCTCTCTGCTATTCCCATTGTGCCTGGAATTCTTATGCTGCTGTTGCCGCTGCTGCTGCTGCTGCTGCTTCTGCTGCAGACACTTTTTCAGAAACGCCTCCAGCTCTGCCGAGTATATTTCCGGGAAGGTTCGGTAGTGGTCCACGTGCGGCGAGGAGTCAAATCTCTTGAACATGACGGCGCACCCGCGCGCTCTCTGCCGTTGGATGAACGACTCGACGGCCTCTGCGGGAATCACAGTGTCTGCTGTGCTGTAGAGATACAGCTGTGGGCACTCGGGCTGCTCTGAGGCGAGTGTGCTTGTGACTGTGTCGAGCTTGCTGTATCCAGAAGCCATGGGGAAAGGGAGTGTGGGGGAGGAGGGGGGGGGGGAGGAGAGAATGTAGCAGGGTAATTAGGAGCAGCAATTCAGAGGACGGTTCAAATTTGAATGGATGGAAGTGGGATGAGAAGGGGATCAGGGAATGAAGGGAGTCGGAACAAAAGCAATAATGGGAGACACAGCATCAGTGACAATTAGAACCATGAACATGGAAGCTGACATAAATGCCAGATATTTCATAAAGATGTCAGCAAACACATGACGTCATCAACCAGTCGAGCAATATGCAACATGAGATGAGAAACCTGAGACAACGCAGCATAAATAATGGAATATGACCGAAAAGGCAAGATGGCATGATGCGATATGACACAATGCAACAGGACACAATGTCTGCAAGTGCTTGAAGTGTTCATGTACGTGCTTTATGCAAGTCAGAGCTTTCTCTACGCATCAACTTACGTCTTGACAACAGGGATCTGCAGCACCCACGTGAAGAACCTTCGCAGAACGTTCAGCAACGTCTTCTCCACCGCATCTTCTTCCGCTTTCACCACCTTCTTTACTCCTCCCTCCAGCGCTCGCACTCCCGCTACACCACCTGCGCTCCGCCTCCTCTCCTCCCCCTCCCCCTCCTCCACAAGATCCATCTCAGCAGTGAGAGACGCGAAGCCTAGGGAACTGCGATGGTGGTGTTTCGGACCGTCGGATGCCGCACGGCGAGGGTCGTCTCTCGGCTGTGCGTCCCACTCGCCTCTATCCGTCACCTCCCACACCTTCCCATTCGCCTCCTTCTCAGCCGCTTCAGCGCTTCCCTTCGCAGCGCCGCCCGCGGAAGATGATTCGGCCTTCGGAACTGCTGGGCCAGCAGCAGCGGACGCTTCCGCAGAGGCGGAAACCTCCGTGCGCCCCGCGCGGGTGGCGGAGCTGCGCTTCTGCAAAATCGCGGCGGCGAATCCGCGCGCCCACACCTGGGGGTCCTGCTCCAAGATCGGCGCGGAATCTACGACGCATCCCTTGATCGCCGCGTCGATTGCCGCCTTGCCGTACTTATCATGCAGCCGATTCAGTACCGCTCCGTAGGTCAGCCATCCCGTGTTACTGAAAGTGTGAAACATCAGCGTGCGTGGCTCTTTCGCCTCTCCCTGATTTACGGGGGCTGACGTGGCGGATAACGCCGCCTCTGGACCTGTTCCCGATAGCCACCTGTGCAGCTCGTCTACTAAACTGTCCACGTGAACTTCCGCCTTCTCTCCGGGTCGGATACTAAGGACGTCTTTAAACGGGATGACGAACGTGATTACGTCGAAACCGCGTGACGTGTACCACTCAGTGTACCGCCGCAAATGCCGCTGCTGCGCGCCGAGCCACCCAAGCAGCACCACCACCGGCTTCGCGGCTTCTGACGGCGGGCCAGACCCGTCCAACTCACCGGCCACGCCGTCGCCGTCAGATCTGACGGCTGACAGGTGCCATTGGTGGAAAGGCTTGGACGAATGGATGTCGCCGTTAAAAGGACCGGAGATCGGTAAAGATGACGGTGGTAGGGAGAAAATGTTACCCAAAGGGAATCCGAAAGGGTTACCACTCGGGTTACTTCCATAACTTGCTGTGATCGACCGCTGCGACAATCGCGGACAAGGGAAAAGGGTAGATGGCGCGATAAGACGGGAAAGCTGCTGGCGAGAAGGCGAGAGAAGGCGATTGGACTCTAACGCGTACGGAGTGGCCGACCCTGTAAACATGCTGCCTAAACCTCTGTACGATGCTTGTGGTAAATGATGGGAGACGGGGGACGGGGAGTGAAACGAGATGGGCGAGGCGGCGGCGATACTGGACTCCGGACAACGAGCGGATGCGGCGGCGGAGGCGGCGGATTGGAGCATCACGGTCGAAGCTATCCCTACCCCGGACGTTTTAAACCGCGATGCGGCAGGATCGGCTACGGCATGTGTGAAGCGGTGACGACCAGAGGAGGCGGGAGTCGCGGCCATGGCGGAATGGACGAGCACGGCGGGGCTCGGAGCGGCGCGACGATCGGGGACTTCGGAACTGACTGCTGCTGTGGCGACTGCTGCAGCCGCTGCTGCCGCCAGCGTCGGAGCAGCAGTTGTGGAAACCCGAACGACTAGCTGGCTAGCCATAGCCGATCGAGTCACGGTTAGAGGTGGTCGTCTAGCAAACACTAAGACGTCCGTCTCGCCTCTCGACTCACGATGGGAATCGAAGCAGTACTTCCAAGAGCAGGGGTTACGAGAGTAAGGGTCTCACCAACCCTCCCCCCAGCCTCTCTGGCGTAACCGACAGGAGTCGAGCAGATCAAGGAGCAAGTCGACCAGCCGTGATTGAAGCTTTTATTGCAGTGCAGGGTTACAAAACAGAGGAGCACAACTCAGATCACAAAACAGGCCTCGCCATGGCTGTCCCCCCCCCATCAGCGAGACTTGTGGTCAATGGTCACCTCGAGGTTGGTTGGCGGGAAACCCTCCTCACGCTTTGTCGCGATCTCTGATGGGTCCATTTCATGGAAGGCGCTGGTGGTCGAACGGCTGCCGAATATGCTGGCGAATCACGCTGTTGTAAAGTGTACACGTAAGCAGGAGCCGACACACATCCGAAGCTGTAGGCCAGGTGCTGGGGACCACCGCTTGCTGACATGTACAAAACGGGGACAACCACGGGCGCAAAGTCGGAGCGGCTGGTGGTGGGCGTTCTGACCTGGCTCATTTCTTTAGATGTGGGAAATGCTACACGTTGCATTTCAAATGTTTCAGATACGAAAATGCTATGCAACAGACATAACCGTGGTAACAATTTGTTCTTGGCATCTCAGCTGCCATCCTCTTGCCTAAGGGCGTGTTCTTACGCTCTTATCAGGCCAACCTCTTGTCAGCCTTGCCTGGTAAAAGTAGCGAGTTTAGGGAATTTTCAGTGTGTTTTGGCGCGAGCTAGATAGGAGGTGGGCCTGATAAGGGGCCGTAGGAACACGCCCTAAGGAGGAGTCTGTGTGAGAGGACATATATGAAGTACTGCAGTACTTTCATTCTGCTGAAATCAAACTCTAGCCACAAGGAGTGCATGAAGTGGATGAGTGAGGTGAGGAAGGCAGTGGAGGCCACCCCCCACCACCCATCCATCCATGCCCCTACATTTTCAACAATTTAGCCATCACCCTGCAGCATCAAATCTATTCAAGTCAAACTCACCAAGGACGATGTCACATGCTATGCTTCAGCAGTACAGGAAAATGAAATTCTTGATTCTATCAGTTGGTTGAACTACGGCCTCACAAATCTCTGCAGCGCTGATACTGTACAGACGCGCAGCACAATGCCCCCAACAGCTGCAGTAAGCTAGGCGCACCTTCCATTTTACTCCCTGCTGACATCTCGTACATAACCTGAATGTACCTTCTGCGGCTCGGCCGCTTCGTTATCCAATCTTCCACCTGAACCTGAAGAGCCACAGCCACAGCACCTTCAGCAGCAATACCAGCAGCAGCGTCGGCCGCAGAAGCACCTCGGTCTACAACATACCTTATCCGCTTCCTGCTGATCCTAAGACTCTCCTCATCCTTCCTGCTTCACTACCTGCGCCAGAACCCCTCCCGAAGGTCCTGACAATGCGCCTAGCGCGTGTGCTGCTGCAGCGTCTTCCTCCTCCCCATTTTCAAGCTCCCCTTCTGTAAGATCCACCACATTAAGAGTGCCATCCTCTCCGCCTTGCACGAACGGTCCCACAATGAAAAATCCCCACCAGGCCTCAAAAGCTGCGTCTTTTTCAGCAAGGCCTTTCGTCGGGCAGGAACTGCCGGTATACCTACCCCAATCGTTAGGTAACTCAACGGTGGTCGTGAACGAGGGGCAATGTGACGGTCCATAGCCGGCTGTCGTGTAGGCGGGCATGCCTTGCAACATGCGGCTGCAGTCAACTTGTAACAGGCCTTTCGCCTCCGCTTTCGCGATTTCCTTCGCCAGCTCTGCTACGCGGTCGGCGTCTGCAGGCGGTTGCGCGTCAGGACAGGAAACTGTTCCCAATAAAGCATTGCGAAACGCTGCTCGGTAAGCCAATAATTGCGCATCCTTCTTCTTAAAGCCGAGTGGAAGCTGCTCACCCCCAGGCATTCTGTCCCTGGAGATGACCTGACAAGCTTCAGACCGCCCGCGGAAAGTTTTGGAGCCAAATGTGACTTCGAAGTCCCAGTTCAGTAGGTGAGCGGGACCTGTCGGGTTTATGGTGGTTGCGTGCGGTGGCTTCATGCCGAGAGCCGACGCGAGGTTGTGTAACAACTGCTGGTACATTGTAACGGCCTCAATGCAGTTCGAACGCGCCTCAGAACAGATTATACCTAGATGCCGTTATCTGAGAGCTATGGCGAGCCGCGAATCGGACAAGGGAGTCAGGATGAAACGAGCCGCGATTTGAAATGTCCACTGATTCGACAACACTATGGCGAAGGGATGAGCTTTGACCTTTTTAATTTGTCGAATAAAGGTAGACTTCTACCATGCTCGTACGAGCTATCAACTATTCGGAACAAAAAGCAGCTTCAACGTACAGCTCTGAATAAGAGCAAGCTGAAAAGGGGGAACGAAATTTGGAAAGTGACGATGGGAGGGATGAGGGCGGGAAGAAGGCGTGATGGTTTGGTTGGGATGCCAAAGATATGGAGGTGGCTAGGGTAGGGCGTGATGTGGTGACGTACTGCGCTGTATAGAGCAAACCGCTACAGAACTTTGTTTCCAGATGTATCTGTTCTCTGTAATGTTTGCTTGGTTAAGGCAAGCGACGAATGGGAAGGAAAACGTTGTCCAAAAGTCAAAATATATTTCTTCTATTTTAAAATACAAAAATGAGTAGGCCACCCGAATGTGCAACAACGTTCAAATCGTTCGATGCTTTTCCTTACCCCTATAGCGATGTATACGCTTCCTTAGCATTTGTCGGCAGACAAAGCCGTCATCACAGGCGCCAAACTTTTCTGCGCGCGCCAACCAAGCTGAGAGTGTTCAGGTAGGTGTATTTAAGCATGGGCCACCAGAATATGCAACAACGTTCTGGTCAATCGATGCTTTTCCATACGCCCAGGTACCTAGGCATTCTGGTCCATCTAGGATTGTGGCAAACATGATCGTGCATGGCGGTCCAGGATCCGAGTAATATTGCTTCACATTTTATACCTGTGCGGATTTCGCTGCTCTCTGGGCAACAAACGCCCTTATAGGGGGACGATCCTTGATGCGGCAGACTCGTTCGAAGGCAATAGGAGCTGAAAATTGGTCCCAAGGTATCTAGGATTGTGGCAAACATGATCGTGCATGGCGGTCCATGATCCGAATAACATTGCTTCAAATTTTATACCTGTGCGGATTTCGGAGCTCTTTGGGCTCACAAACGCCCTTATAGGGGGACGGTTCTTGATGCGGCGGGCTCGTTCGAAGGCAATAGGAGCTGGAAACTGGTCCAAGGTACCTAGGATTGTGGCAAACATGATCGTGCATGGCGGTCCAGGATCCGAGTAATATTGCTTCACATTTTATACCTGTGCGGATTTCGCTGCTCTCTGGGCTCACAAACGCCCTTATAGGGGGACGGTTCTTGATGCGGCGGGCTCGTTCGAAGGCAATAGGAGCTGGAAACTGGTCCCAAGGTATCTAGGATTGTGGCAAACATGATCGTGCATGGCGGTCCAGGATCCGAGTAATATTGCTTCACATTTTATACCTGTGCGGATTTCGCTGCTCTCTGGGCTCACAATCGTCCTTATAGGGGGACGGTTCTTGATGCGGCGGGCTCGTTTGAAGGCAATAAGACCTGGAAACTGGTCCCAATGTATCTAGGATTGTGGCAAATATGATCGTGTATGGCGGTCCAGGATCCGAGTAATATTGCTTCACATTTTATATATGTGCGGATTTCGCTGCTCTCTAGGCTCACAATCGCCCTTGTAGGGGGACGGTTCTTGATGCGGCGGGCTCGTTCGAAGGCAACAGAAGCTGGAAACAGGTCCCAAGGTATCTAGGATTGTGGCAAACATGATCCTTCATGGCGGTCCAGGATCCGAGTAATATTGCTTCACATTTTATACCTGTGCGGATTTCGCTGCTCTCTGGGCTCACAAACGCCCTTATAGGGGGACGGTTCTTGATGCGGCGGGCTCGTTCGAAGGCAATAGGAGCTGGAAACTGGTCCCAATATATCTAGGGTCGTGGCAAACATGATCGTGAATGGCGGTCAAGGATCCGAGTAATATTTCTTCACATTTTATACCTGATGCGGCGGGCTCGTTCGAAGGCAATAGGAGCTGGAAACTGGTCCCAAGGTATCTAGGATTGTGGCAAACATGATCGTGCATGGCGGTCCAGGATCCGAGTAATATTGCTTCACATTTTATACCTGTGCGGATTTCGCTGCTCTCTGGGCTCACAATCGTCCTTATAGGGGGACGGTTCTTGATGCGGCGGGCTCGTTTGAAGGCAATAAGACCTGGAAACTGGTCCCAATGTATCTAGGATTGTGGCAAATATGATCGTGTATGGCGGTCCAGGATCCGAGTAATATTGCTTCACATTTTATATATGTGCGGATTTCGCTGCTCTCTAGGCTCACAATCGCCCTTGTAGGGGGACGGTTCTTGATGCGGCGGGCTCGTTCGAAGGCAACAGAAGCTGGAAACAGGTCCCAAGGTATCTAGGATTGTGGCAAACATGATCCTTCATGGCGGTCCAGGATCCGAGTAATATTGCTTCACATTTTATACCTGTGCGGATTTCGCTGCTCTCTGGGCTCACAAACGCCCTTATAGGGGGACGGTTCTTGATGCGGCGGGCTCGTTCGAAGGCAATAGGAGCTGGAAACTGGTCCCAATATATCTAGGGTCGTGGCA